TAGAAGTGGGTAGCTGTTAAATTAAAGAAGAACCTTGAAGCACACTCAAAATGATAGGTGCTTTAGGTCCTCCAGTCTGTTAGGAAGAAAATCCTAGGGTCAGTTGCCTAAGGTTTCTATGTAGGTCTAACCACTCCTTATCTTGCTTCTTTAGAATATGTGCAAGAATTCATTCTCAGGGTTCCAGGTATAGCTGGGCTGTAGGCAGAGGGAGCATGAGAATATTCAGTAGCATAGAGGAATTTAGGGATCTTAGAACTGCACTCAGGGATGACGATGGTAGTAGCAGAAGGACCATGCCAAGATTTTTAAAGCTCTGGGGAACTGGGAGGTGTTTTTTTATGCCCTAAGAATATACTTTTATCTGTAGTAAATGTGTAGTAAGAAAGGATGAAACCAGAGATTAAAGAAAACTGCTTTTCTTATTATGTCATTGTCTTAACATTACTTCATTTTCTGGAATACAGTCATAAGTCATCTGTAAAATTCTCCATCATAACTAAAACCATTGGCATTTATCATAACTAAACTCCAAATTAAAAGACGTATTTGGATACAGTAGGCATAAAATGGGTGTTTTCCAAACTGAGTGGAAATGTGTAAGTCAAAAATGAACTGGGCCCCAGAAAAGTCAAACTAAAGCCCGTTCATATTGTCTTTCTGCTTCCCAGTGTCATGTCTTTTCGTCTTGCATGGCTCTTCCTACCTCCTTTACAATTTGGTTCAGAAGTCATATAAACACCATCTCTGTACTTTTCTGCATTATTCTGGGTGAGGATTGGAGCATATCAAGTACAGATATTGCCAGGCCATAATGAGTTTATGGCTCTTCTATCCTAGATCTGGATAGAAGCCAGACCTTCAGTATCCTCAGCCATCTGGAGCTGAAACGATAAATCTAGAAATTATACAAAAAAGTGTTCTCAGAGTAACAGGTACTTTTCCTAAAATTTAGGTGCTGAAGTCAGTGGGCTTTATTCCACAGAACAGATGATCTGCCCTTAGACAAGACTACTGGGTATAAAATTGGGCAGTAGATTAAAATAGGGACGTAATGATATAAAAAATAATGACAGCAGAAAGGGCAAATAGAAGGCACCTGTGTAACATCAGGGCTGCCCGTGGCCATTTAATATAGGCTTAGATTAGGTCATTTGCCTGTGGTCATCCAGCTAGTAATGGAAGTACCTGGATTTGGATTCATTGCTGCTTGATTTCCAGACCATTTCTTTTTCCACTGAACCATGCAGAGGAGGGTCCATTTTGAGTCACTCTCAGGAAATATATTTGCCAAGTATGACCACTGCATGGGAGCAAGATTCAGACTTGATTTTTGAACAGAGTTGGGGGGACAACTTGGTATGAATCATTTTTTCAGAGCATTGATCTGAGTGTCATCTGCAAAATTTCCCTGGTGGAGGAAAAATGTGAGGCCAGGAGAACCATAGAGGACATTATTTGAGGAAAGCAGGAATGGAATAATAAATTATATGGAGGGTGAAAGAAAGAAATAAGATATAGATGAGGGAAGCTTTTGAGGCCTGTTGATAGTATCATCTTTAAGAAGATCAAAGGAGGTTTTGAGTCAGCAGGAAACAACTTTGAGTCAACCCCTTCCATTATAGAGAAGTCAGGAAATTGGAGGGCTTAGATGGGGGAAGAACCTTACTCAAGATCACGGAGATAGTTAAGCCCTTTTACCAATCCTAATTCAGCCGTTTATCCTGCTCTTTGCTTCTGTTTTCCATGTGCTATAACCTTATAAATTCTATTTCTACTAAGTTAAAATTACCTGACAGTTTTAAAGTCTGTGTCTTCTAGCTGATATCCCAGTTCCATTTGCTGCCTTCCCAGACACTTTCAACATCACAGTGTTTTTGCAACCTTGTTACACTGTCTTCACTGCCCACTGTCTCTGTGACTGAAGGGTCATCTCACTGAATTTATCATGTATCTCTCCTTGAGGCCTGTCTTCTTATTGTGGTATTTCCCCCCTCAAATGTTTTGGTCATGAATTTAAAATATTATAATTATGTACTTGGACTTAGCTCCACTGAATTTTTAAGGAGTTCCTCTCCCACACAGTCCATTATGGGACAGCTGTTCACTTACCCTGTGGTGGCTGTTACATGAGAGGAATCTCCCTTTAAAAGGATATTCCCACTGACTCACTTATGAAGACTGCATGAGTAAAATTTTCTTCTTTTATGCTTGGAATCTTCTTTCATATTTTTAGACTCTTAGAATGATAAAATAGCAGGGACCTCAAACATTCTCCTAGCCAAATCCCTTTATTTCATAGATGACAAAACCATGGCCCCAGGGAGTTGGAAGTCTTCCAACATCATGGTGAGTTGGTGACAGTTAAAGAGGTTTGCTTGGCCTCTCAACCATGAAATGGAGAGGATTCCATCACTGTCTCCCTCAAAGTGTTTTTAGGAGGATTAGTGAGATAAAATTTATGAAATACAGTATATGAAATGGAAGTGTTACCATCAAGACTTTTAAGTTAAGGCAAAGCTCTTTGAAACTGAATTAAAAACGTGAAACTTCTGGAGTACTTCTTGTCACATGACTTTCTTGCCATTAGATTATAAATTCCTAGCTGGCAGGGAGATATGGGAGATTGGTCCCAACTTTTAATATTTCACATATAGGAAAAGGGTGTTGCACAGCTAGTTTTTAGCAGAGTCCAAGCTTAACATTACCGGGATTCATCCCACTGCCTTCGTTCCACGTTGTGTGCCACAGCACTTGGTGCAGAGTACAAGCTTGCATGTTTGCGTTCCGGTGGGCAGGCCCAAGAGCAGGTGCCACACAGTGAGGCTTAGACTACCATGGAGAAGCAGGTATGGTAAACTGAGAGGAGAGTCAAGGACTGTTCTTATCCCCAGCATGACAGTTCTTTACCGGGTTCTATGGTTTGCCCAAGCAGGCTGTGGAACAACTTCTTTTAAGTCATTGTCTAAAATCACTAAGCATTTCCTGTTTGTGCATGGACACTTTTTCCTAATTACTCCTTCATCCAGGCTGTTCTTGTCACTTTGGGGGTGTCCCGGTGCTCCACAGAAGTCCATAGGCCAGGATCCTTTCTTTTGTTCAAGGTTTATGTGTTATCAGTCACCGTGGCTAGGGAGTTGCTAGGTCAGAAGAAGGGTGGGGATTCCTCTCAGGGACACATACGCAGCAGTGGAGACCCAGGAGTGAGCTTTGTTTGTGCTCACACCTGTGTCCTGTACCTAACCCTCTCCCCTCCCAGCTGTGTAGGGAAGACAGCAGGCTGACATGTTGGTTCTCAGCCTGTCTTGCATCAAACAGCATCCTTTTTTCCCAGTATGGCTTTGTGTGTGAAACGTGTATTACTTTGGAAACATTTGAAATACCTTAAACAAAATGACTTTTTTTTTTTTTTTAACTCAACAGAAAATGCCCTAAAAACAACAGAGGACGGCGACAGAAGCAAAACCTAGGTCATTTTACTTCAGATACGTCATCCAGAATGGTTTAAACTGATGACTTTTATATGTACACTAACCATGTGATGTACATTTATTATGTCTTTTTTTAAAGAATGGAAATATTTATTTCAGAGGCCTTATTTTTGGACATTTTTAGTGTAGTACTGTTGGCTTGTATTTAGAATATTCAGCTACAACAGTTTTGGACTGTTTAGTAGTCTTTGTTTTATGTTTTTAAATACAGAAATTGAGTTCACAAATTTATACCACATGGTAATTCTAAGACTTGTTCTTTACCCATGGAATGTAATATTTTTGCAAAGATGGACCACTTCACAAATGGTTATAAAGTCATACCCACTTCTTCCACAATGACCACAACAAATGACCAAGCATGAACTAAAGGTAAAGATGTTTACAGATTACTTTTCTTACAAAAAAAAAAGACAAAGAATCTAGAAGGCACTGTGTTTAAATAGACATTTAAATGTTTTTGGGATTTAGTAACTGATTTTTTAGACACTGCCTATCGCATGAACTGTAAAGTTGTGTGTGTTAGATGTAAAATATTTATAAGCGGTATGGATTGGAATTTGATTATTCCTCTCTTTGAAAAAAAAATAACTCTGATAATTTGGAAAAGTATCTGGTAGCAAAGATGGAACGAATCACTGGAAAGTAGATTTAGATACTGTGAAAAGTGTCTGTTTAACAAACAGATTGGAATAAAGCTTCCTCTATCAGTTAAACTACTTTAATACACATTCATTTTTAAGAAAATATTTGTTTTAACATGAATAAACAAATTGTATCCGTGTTTGTGAATAAAATGCAAAAATGATTGTTAATGATTGGTGCTCTTAAGGTGAGCTTAAAAATTATCTAAGACCTCTATCCAAATTTGTCCTGTAGTAATAGCTATATTAATAGATTGTTGGTGTTTAAATATCTGAAGTGTGAGTAGAATGTATTCAGCTGTTTAACATGTACTTTAGGTATATGCATGTAGAATTTAAGAATATGTTCAAAATTAAATATTAATTTTAATATTTGGTTTGGAAAAGCATGTTATAATATAATGTTTTCACTATATGGCCTCTGTTTTGGTGTGTTTATTTACCACATTCTTTGTTACTGATAACATTTAGTATGTGAAGTAAATAGAAAAAGAGTTCAGTTCAAAATTCCCCTTTGCTTTTACAAATACTGTTTGAAATTATCTAAAGGCGAAGCTTCCCCCAACATGCAGCATTTGCTTTTTTGGTCATTTGGCTTTTAGGCTTAATATTAGTAACATGGCGACTTCTGGATCTTTTTTTTTTTTTTTTTTTTTTTTTTTTTTAAAGCTTTCCTCTTGTCTGCACACAGACTTATTTGAGTCCATTAGTCAGTCACCAAGCATGTTTGGAACAGTACCCAGTGCTCTGCAAGGGTTCATGTTGCAGAACAGTCATGTGTGGGTATTTGTAGTTATAAATACTTGACCAGTCTCCAGGGGTGGGGTTTCCAACCCTTTAAACAACCCTGTTGCCTGTTATCAAGCTAACTTTTTACTCTTAGTGCCAGAACTGATTGTGGTGGGACATCTTTCACTGAGAAATAACTAAAATGGAACATAATGGGTCTTCTTCAAATGCCGATAAAATCCACCAGAATCGCCTCTCGAGTGTCACAGAAGATGAAGACCAAGATGCTGCTCTCACCATCGTGACTGTGCTGGACAAAGTAGCCACCATCGTGGACAGTGTGCAGGCAAGCCAGAAGAGACTAGAGGAGAGACATAGGGAGATGGAAAATGCCATAAAGTCCGTCCAGATTGACCTGCTGAAGCTGTCACAGTCCCACAGCAATACAGGCTATGTCATTAACAAGTTGTTTGAGAAAACTCGAAAAGTCAGTGCTCACATTAAAGACGTGAAGGCCCGGGTGGAGAGGCAACAAGTTCACGTGAAAAAAGTTGAATCCAAGCAAGAGGAAATAATGAAGAAAAATAAATTCCGTGTGGTAATATTCCAGGTAAGCTTGGCACCTGCATTTGGCTTGATTACTGCAAAATCTTAACATCCTTGAATTGCCAACCAGTCATATGAGAAGTTTCCAGCAAACCCATCCTAACTGTTGTCTGTATTCATGGAATGGAGTTCTGTCTCAGGGAGATTCCCAGGATAAAGCCATGTCTGTGTTGACTAATGTGCTATGCTATCAGTACTTGGAGTTTCTCAACCATTTTGTGTAACAGGAACTGTGGATCATAGCTGAGGCTATTTCTTGCCTTTGAAACTTAATATTGGGAAGGCTCTTTCAGCATATTAGCCGTATCAGCACTATGCCCTTTTGGAGACTGAGAATGTTGGTTTTAGAAGAGATCTAAGAGGACTCGGGTTTAAAACACCTCTTTGTTGTATAAAAAAAAGAAACTGAGGACCTGTAGTCCCACAATGTGGTTTTCCCCTTTATTACAGAGAGCCTGAAAAGCCCTAAACAGTAAAATACAAAATTTTCGGAATATTATTTTTCTTTTGGAATTTTTACATGTGATAATATGTAGGTTACAATAATAATAAGAAAAACTCAACAGGGGCGCCTGGGTGGCTCAGTGGGTTAAACCTCTGCCTTCGGCTCAGGTCATGATCTCAGGGTCCTGGGATCGAGCCCCGCATCGGGCTCTCTGCTCAGCGGTGAGCCTGCTTCCCCCTCTCTCTGCCTGCCTCTCTGCCTACTTGTGATCTCTCTCTCTCTGTCAAATAAATAAATAAAATCTTAAAAAAAAAAAAACCTCAAATAATCAGGCCATTGTTTTTATGGTTGTTACACTTTTACAGATATTGGAGTCATATAAGTAATTGCTTCTGTTTGATTACAAAGTCTTTTGATTCCACTTATTTGATGTAGTTTAGTGTGACATTGTGCATTGTGCTATGTTAGCATATTACGCTGCATTTGGCATTCATATATTTTTTTTTTAAGATTTTATTTATTTATTTGTCAGAGAGAGAGAGCGAGCACAGGCAGACAGAGTGGCAGGCAGAGGCAGAGGGAGAAGCAGGCTCCCAACAGAACAAGGAGCCCGATGTGGGACTCGATCCCAGGACGCTGGGATCATGACCTGAGCCGAAGGCAGCTGCTTAACCATCTGAGCCACCCAGGCGTCCCTGGCATTCATATTTTTTGAAGTAGGAACACATCCATGGCAAAATGCATAGTATCTGAATATATTTTAAAACTCTTACAAATCAAAAGGAAAAAGTTGAACTCTCCTCCTGTGAAAGAAAAATGGGAAAGTCGTTACCAGACTCTTCACAAAAGACAAAATAAAAGATCAGAATTCCACTTATGTCTATTTAGGTATTTTCAGTTTTTTAAAACATATATTCAGAGTTTTAAGGGTTAAAAAAGCCAAGCACTTTCATACTCTGGTGGAAGCAGTAACTGAGTATTAACTAGTACAACATTTCCGGGGGGAAGTTTTAGTATACACACACACAAACACACAGTGTTACCACAGTGTATTTTTAAAATGGATGGATATCCCTCTGCAGAGGAAAAAACCTTCAATGAGTAAAAACAAAATAAGAACACAGTTGGATTATGTAGGCAGATACTTGTAAGACATGAGGGATATAGGCCACAAATCCCCACAGCATTGTCTACACGTTAGGTCTCCTTCATGCTCTGTTGATGATGAAGTTACATAGGGATGGCAGAGTAGTATTTGGGATCTGTGGGTTTGTTTTTTTTTAATTAACGTATAATGTATTATTTGCTTCAAGGGTACAGGTCTGTGAATCATCAGTTTTACACAATTTACAGCACTCACCATAGCACATACCCTCCCCAATGTCCATCACTCAGCCACCCCACTCCTCTTCCCCCACCCCCCAGCAACCCTCAGTTTGTTTCCTGAGATTAAGAGTCTCTTATGGTTTGTCTCCCTCTCTGGTTTCATCTTGTTTCATTTTTCCCTCCCTTCCCCTATATGGAATCAGTTTTTAAGAACCTGTTTTATTTAAGAAAAAGAAGCCAGTGCCAGTGTTAGTATATGTAGTTAGTATATGTAATGGGGATCTAGATTTGATATTAGAGAATGTAGGATCCATTCTTCAGTTCACCTCCCAAGGGCATTAGCAGGAATGGGTTATGTTGTACCCTTCACTTGCAAGGGATATGCCAGGAAACATTCTTGGTATCTAGCATTTCTCCTGAGAACGTTTGTGCAAAGAGCGGACCAGGTACCAATCAAGATCTACAAAGGCTTGAGGAAAGAAGTTTCTGAAAAGTTCAAATTGACTCTTGTCTATTGACACAATTTTTGTGTTTTTTTTTTTATAGTTAAGATTATTTTCTATATTCACCTCTTTATTCCCTGAAACTTGCTATTTTTCTCTTTGAGTTTCTGTAATTAGTTGAACAAGTAGATAGTATGAAGAAGCTATCGAGAGGCGCTAATTTAAGTCAGATCTCGTTCCTTGTAAGATACAGTGCTGTGAAAGTTCTGTGAAATTAGGTTGCTCAGAGGAAGCCGGAGTTTGTCAGTAAGCAGCCGCTTTTACAGAGCTTGTAGAGAAAGCTTGTAGAGCTTGTAGAGAAAAGATGAAGGCAAATAACAATGGATTTGATGATTCATTAGCTGTTAGAACTCTATACAGTATGCACACGGTTATACTTAGTTAAAATTAGTTCCTATACTTCATTCTCATAGTTGATATGTATAAGTGGTTATACTGAGATCACCTGTCCTACTAAAATTAACTTGAAGCTGGAGTAATTCAGCTGTAGTATACTTCCATTTCCATTTGGGTTTTTCCCCAAAAGGTTTTCCCTGGATACATCTTTTGGGGACAATCTTTATGGGCGTTTTATCTCCCACAGGAACTTTCGCCTAATCCTGGACATTGGTGCTAAAAAAATTATCTGCTTTTTTCATACAGTTATGATTTCTCTTTGAACGTCACCTTGATGACCTTCTCATGCAGGCCTCAGTCATACCATCTCTTCTAGCAATTTTGCTTACAAACCACATGCCTGTGGTTACTAAATGAGATGTTCAGCCATTCCCTAATGATGAGCCCTGGACTTCTCTATATTCAAAAGTCCCCTAGCTAGGTTACTTTGGTACTCAGTTAAAGCTACTTTACCCTAACCATAGTACTCGCTTTGTTTTACAAAAGTCATTTTACCTGGACTTTTACATAAAAGATATAAAGGGATGCGTGGGTGGCTCAGTTGATTCAGTGTCTGCCTTTGGCTCAGGTCATGATCTTGGGATCCTGGGATCAAGCCCCAGGTCGGGCTCCCTGCTCAGCAGGGAGTCTGCTTCTCGCTTCTCCCTCCCTCCCTCCTTCCCCACTTGTGCTCTCTGTCAAATAAATAAAATCTTAAAAAGAAGAGATATAATATTTGGAAATCAACTGTAACTCAACCCCATAATCTTCAATTATTATTACAGTATATTCATCATTAATTCATGGTATCTCTGACTCAGTAGGAATTGCAACAAATAGATCCATGTCACAAGTACTTTCTCTGACTACTTTTGTTTTTAAGGGTGATGTTATATAATTAGTGCAATTGAAAAGAATGGAATATGATTCCTGAGTTAAGCTATGTTTGATTCCTTCATAGCAAGATTGTGAGGGTTTTCCCCCTACCAAGCAATAATTATTTTTTGGCTCCTTCCTATTCTAATTATACTTTCTCAGGCCATACCAACCCACTTGTTGTTGCTGAAGCTACTCCCTATAGCAGGTGTCAGGAAAGGAGAGGAATAATTTTGCTGCTTCTCACTGATTCATCAGAGAGTTATGAGACGCCCACCTTTCTTTTCTTCTTTTTTAAGCTGCTAGACTCTCCAATCCTGTAGCCAAAGAATTTAATTTTAAGCAAGTATCCAAAGCAATAAGTTTCCAAGGACCTTCTTGACTGTCAGGCTGATGGGTTTTGGAATAAGCCTATTTCTTATATATTAATTTTTTTTTGATTGAGTAGATTTAATCTGGATCTCAATAGGAGCATAGTTTCTTTTAGAAATTTTAACTCATGGGTTCCCTTAAATCTCATGATCCTTAAAGTTTTGCCTGTTTAGTTTTGTAAATAATCTCTCAGTATTTGGGTTTCTTTAGCAGCTGTGTTTCTGGGCTGGTTCTCGAGGGTCCCCAGTGTCTGCCATGTTCCCAAATCAAATTCTCATCCTTATCCGTTGGTATATCTGACATAGTTGGTCCCTCCCTCTCTTCTTGAAACTTCTTTTCCTTTGCCTTCAGGGGTGCTGCTTTTTTGAATTTCCTCCTGCCTCACTGGCTGATATGTCTCCTTTTTGGTTCTTTCTCATCTCTTCCTTTTTATCTAGATGTTGGAAATCCATTTATCTGTCCAAATACCAAAATCCAGAAATTTCTTTTTTTTTTTTTTTTAAGATTTTATTTATTTATTTATCAGAGAGCGAGAGCGAGCACAGGCAGACAGAATGGCAGGCAGAGGCAGAGGGAGAAGCAGGTTCCCTGACGAGCAAGGAGCCCAATGTGGGACTCAAACCCAGTACGCTGGGATCATGACCTGAGCCGAAGGCAGCTGCTTAACCAACTGAGCCACCCGGGCGTCCCAAATCCAGAAATTTCTAAAAAAGTTTTCATAATGTACTGGGTAGCAAGACCTAGGATTGACCTGAACTCATTTGGTGACAAAACTGACCAGAAATAGCACAAGTCTGTTTATACTCTTTATTCCACCTTAGAATGAATATTCACATTCATATCACAGAATTGTTTCTTCCGAAGGTCTGACTAGGAATGTAATGTAATATGTTGTTTTCCCCAAATCTGAAATATTCTGGAAATGTACCTTGGCCCCAAGAAGTTTGGGTAACATTGAGTGTTGACCCATTCACTCAGTCTCTTAGGAGTCTCCTTCATCTTGTTTCATGATTTTTAGTTCTTGACATTAATGATTCCTAAATTTATATCTCTAGTCCAGACCTCTTTCTTGAATTCCAGGCTTGTAAGCGCAGCTGCCTACTTGAGATCTCGGATCCCAACCTTACCCTCCAGTTTCTTCCTCCTGCTTTCTTCCCCATGTCAGTTAATGGGAGATCTATCCTTCTGCTGCTCAGGCCATGTACTCGAAAATCATCCTTGATGCTGACACTCCACATCCAAATCTAGCAGTAAGTCCTGTTAGTGCCTACCTTCCCAGGAGATCCAGAATAAGGCTGCTCCCCACGGCCTCTGCCAGCGTCCTCATGCATCTCTCACCTGACTTACCTCAGTGGTCTCCAACTGCCGTCCTTGCTTCTTATCTCACCTGCTAGGGCCTGTTTTCAACAGAGTCATCCTTTCATAGCATGGGTCAAATCATGTCACTATTCTCAAAACTTTTAAGAGGGCTTCCTATCAGGCGTTGTCAGTTTAGTGAAAAGAATTTTCCTGATAAAAATGTGGAAGGGGCGCCTGGGTGGCTTAGTTCAGTGTCTGCCTTCAGCTCAGGTCATGTTCCCAGGGTCCTGGGATCGAGCCCCGCATTGGGCTCCCTGCTCCTTGGGGAGTCTGTTTCTCCTTCTTCTCCTCCCCCTGCTCATGCACGCTTTCTCTTTCTCTCTTAAATATATAAAATCCTTAAAATAAAAGGACTTCTTGTCAAACTCAGAATAAGAGCCATGGTCCTTATTATTGGATACAGAACTCTACATGAGCTGGCCTTCCCACTACCTCTCTTTCCTCCTCTTGTTGCCCCTTGATCTCTCTGCTCCCACCATACTACTGCCTTCCTTGCCATTTTGGTTTTCCTCCCAGATGTGTGTATTACCTTCCAGTCTAGGCTAGGATGTCATCTTATCAGTGAGGACTTTCTAATCATCTTACTTACCACTGTATAGTCCCCTTCCCTACTTTATTTTTCACTTAAGCATTTATCACCATCCAACAGATTACATATTTAACTTGTTTATTTCTCTCTCTACAAGAATATAAGCTCTTTTACTCTGTTTTCTTCCTAGGAGGTTCTCAGTTCCTAGAACATTGACTGGTGCATGCTAGGTGCTTAGAAACTATTGAACGAAGGTGTATGCCCTATTTGATTGAACAGCCATTTATTGAGTGTAACTACTATGTACAAGGCTCTCTGATAGATACTGGGTGTAAAACACAGGACACATTTCTGCTTTCATCAAACCTATTATTTAGTGAAGGCCTCAGTATATAAATGAGTAGAGTTCCAGTTCAATTCAAATAGTGATTAAGTGTTGTAAGTAGAGGTGTGTACATGTCATTCTGGTATAAACTGAAAAAAGAATTAGCTTCTTGAGGGGAAGTTGGGGACATTTGAATTGATTCTTGAAGATTTTGTTGACAGAGCTGAAAAGGGATGAAAGGCATTAAAAGAAGCAAAAAAAAAAAAAAAAAGGTAGTAAAAGTATACAAAGTCATGGAGAGACGAAAACACTCTGTTTGAGGAGCAGAGAGTGGTTGTATGTTGCTGGACTGGAAAGTAGGTTTAGCTCAAACTGAAGAGCCTTCTAATCATATTAAAGAGCTGAACTCTGTCCTGTGAGTATTGACGAGTTCCCAAAAGTTTTGAAGTAGAGAAAGGATGTGATCAGAGCTATGCTTTAGAAATTTTTCCCAGGAAATACTTAGGTTATGCTTTGGAGGTAGACGTATTATTGTATAAGTTCAGGCTTGAGATGACAGAGACCTGAATTAAGACATTGGTAGAGACAAGGAGGAAGGAGGAGGGGACAGGGGTTATTAAGCAGTGTTATTAACGGTGCTTGGTGACCTGTTGGATATGGGATGAGAAGGAGAGGAAATACTTGGGTTGAAATTCCTAGATTTCTATTTGGGTCATACCTAGAGGGGGGTTGGTGCTGGGAGACCCAGGAAAAGAAGCAGGTATGGAGAAGATGCTGTGTGGACCTTAATTTTTGGACATGTTAAGTTTTATAAATTTTATGTATGTATGTATGTATGTATGTAAGCTTCATGTCCGGCATGGAGCCTATGTCGGGCTTGAACTCAGGACCCTGAGCTCAAGATCTGAGCTGAGGGGCCCCTGAGTGGTTTGGTTGGTTAAGCATCTGCCTTTGGCTCAGGTCATGATCCTGGAGTCCTGGGATTGAGCCCTGCATCTGGCTGCGTGCTCAGCAGTGAGATTGCTTCTCCTTGTCCCTCTGCCCCTACCCCTGCTTGTGCTCTCTAGCTCTCTCTCTCTCTCTCTCTCTCTCTCAAATAAATAAGTAAATAAATAACATATTAAAAAAAAAAAAAAAGACCTGAGCTGAAATCAAGAGTCAGACGCTTACCTGGCCGAGGCACCCAGGGGCCCCTCGTATGTTAATGTTAAGTTTGACGTGTCTCTGTTACATCCAGGTAACATCTCTCTGTCATTTAGAATTGTGTGTCATCTTAGGAGAAGGGGAGAGGTGAAGATAAAATATTTGTGCGGGTGCTTACCATTGGTTCTGCAAGCAGAGGATTGGATCAGGTTACTCCAGCTGAGCTGGGGAGATGAAGCCACAAGAGACAAGGAGAGAGAAACCCTGAGAAAAGCCAACAGTTAAGGAGCAGGCAGAGGGTGCACAGCCTGTGGAGGAGATGGAAATGGCATGGCCAGAAGGTGAAAGAACGGATACCTAACGCGCTTTCTTTTTCTCTCGTCCAGGAGGAGATTCGGTGTCCGACATCCCTGTCTATTGTTAAAGACAGAAGCCTGACTGAGAATCAAGAGACCGACGAGGATGTCTTTGACCCTCCAATCGATCTGTCTTCAGATGAAGAATATTATGTCGAAGAAAGCAGATCTGCCAGGCTTAGAAAGTCAGGCAAGGAGCGCATTGATAATATCAAAAAGGCATTTTCCAAAGAAAACATGCAGAAGACCCGGCAGAATTTTGACAAGAAAGTGAACAGAATTAGAACTAGAATAGTGACCCCGGAGAGGAGAGAAAGGCTAAGGCAGTCGGGAGAGAGGCTGAAACAGTCAGGGGAAAGGTTTAAGAAATCCATTTCTAACGCAGCTCCCTCAAGGGAAGCTTTTAAGATGCGTAGCCTTCGGAAAGCAAAAGACGGAACTGTGGCCGAAGATGCGGAGGAGGTCAGGGAGATGGGTGTGGACATCATTGCCAGAAGCGAGTCTCTGGGCCCCATCAGTGAGCTCTACACTGATGAGCTCAGTGAAACAGACCGCGAGGAGGCCAGGGCTGTGTATCCTCCCAGAGAAGAAGGGGAGATCTCAATCCCCGAGCCTTTGAAAGTTACTTTTAAACCCCAAGTGAAAGTTGAGGACGATGAATCTCTTTTGCTAGATTTAAAGCAGTAATCATAAAGAGGAACTAAACATAAGTATACATCTCTTCAATCACAAGGTTCTAGTTTAAATAGTATAGTCATTGACGTTGATGACATAGTACAGTCATGTACATTTATTAAATAGTGTAGTCATTTACATTTGTTCATAGGAAAACATGAATGATACGGCTGGTTTCATTTCTGATGTTTAAAATCTTAAAGATAACACAAGTATTCTATACATTTCCTTATAACTTCCTTGGGAATTCCTTTTTCTTCCCTGGGCTTATACGAGTCTATCAACTTTCTCTTTTAAGTCATTCTCATGGCAGCTGTGGATTTTTAAGTTCTTTTCTCTTGCCCAGGAGGAAAGTAGTTTCTTAGCAAGGGCAGTTAGGCGTTTGGTGTCTAAAACATGTGAAGGGCAAAGTTGTAGCCATATTTGCAAGTAAACTCTCAGTTTTGGTCTAGATGGGTGTTGTGGCCAAGCTCAAAAGGGAGTAACCCGTGTGGAGATTATATCATCCACATGTTCAAATAGATTCATTAGTCAATTAGTAGTCATACCTCTTTTTGATGCTTTTGCATAAAAACTATGAAGTGCTGGACTCGAGTGTTTTGTTCTGGCATTCTAGTTTTACTTACACCACGCCACTTAGCAAGTCACCTGCTAATAAACTCATCAGTAAAATGGAGAGGGTTTGTCTCTCCAGTCTCAGAGGACTGTTGTGATGATCAAAGGAAATGTTACACATTCTGGGGGGAACAGGGAGCACCTCCAGAGAAAACAAACCCCACTTGTTCCTCAGGAACAGAATTGAAATAATTACACCTTCTGAAAAAGACTTAAGCACCAAGCATTGAGGACCTAAGTTGGATAGAAGCCAAAGTTGGTCTTCAGAAGCCTTTTCACAGAATAGGAATGAAAAATAAATGTTCGGGTGACATCTTTTTTGTCAAAAGACTAAAATCCAACCTTCAGTAGGGTCTTAAAATATTTCCTGGAAACTCCTTTTCTAATTTTCTTTTGATTTAGAGCTATGGTAGACTAGAGCAATCTTTGAACTGCATGAAGCATAAAACGATGACTGTGTGTCTTCAAGAGGACTTTCTAAAGTCTTTCCTGATGGCAGTGGGTTTTGGAAATGACCTCATGTTTCTGTTTTCCAGGGTGAACCCCTCAGGGCCTGTCTGTCTAAAACAGGGACCATAGGAATGCATCGTAGCTGGCTTGGGAGGAAGCCAGATTCCACTTAACCATTAGCTTTAGATCTAGCCAATCTGGAAGTTAATATTATGCTAAGGAGAGAAATGGTCCTACTGGTTCTGCACTTCTGGTATGTTTAAGTCTTCTTAGTTTTATAATGGGGAAGAAATGATGGAATTGTTGAATTTGAAGAGTTTAGACAGGCAGCTTTCAGATCAATTTGGGGTGCTCCTAAAGTAGTTAAAAATTATAACAAATATACACAGATACACAGAGTCAGACACACACAAATCAGCTTTCAAGTATTGGACTCGGTTCCCCAGATATTTGGGTTTGGGAGTTTGACTCAACATCATTTCCTCTTCACGCTGCATGAATACATAAAATCATGAGTTGTGCATCTCAATCATCTTTTTATATTGAACACTAAAGTGTTTACAACATTCTTTGAAAAGAACAATTTTTAAAAATGTTGTTTAGAAAGAGCTTGGATGCCTCGTCACATATTTCCTTAAAGCCATAATAAATTTGAATTTGAAAAAGTTTGATGTTGATATCCTGTTTGTAAATATTTTTACTAATAATGGATGCAAATAACATGGCATGAATTTGATATAGTAACCCTTCTCATAATAGATGTTTCTAAGTTAAGAAGAATATAAAAAGTTTACAAGCCTTTTCTTTTTTCTGGCCTTATGCAGAATAAATATCAATTGGGCTAAAATATAACTGCAAATATAACTCTCAAGGAATTTTTGTAAAGTTTGTTTCCTTACTGACCTATTATATCACCAGACTTGACGTTATGGAGTATTTCCATTGAGATACATTTGAATTTTGATGTGGAAAGCATTATAACCTGGTCAGCGTTTTATCCTGGTAGACTTTGTACAACCCCAGAAACACAGCTGAATGTTAGCGGAGTTTCACTGAAACCTTATACTGTTTCTTGGTACTAGGATTTTCCGCTCCATATTGCTTCTGTCTCTTGACATTTTCCAGTATATTTAGGGCATTTCTCAATTCCACATTCATAATTGTTTCTCTCTTCACCCCGTTTTCTTAATGTAAAGAGTGTCTATTCATTATAGGCTTTATAATCCGACATCGCCATTTCATGCAAAGAACGTTCTCGTCAACGTTCCTTAGTTCAGAAGTTTCAGACAACACAGATTTTCTGCTTTTCTTACTCTTCCGTGTTTTTGAAATCATACATGTTAGATTCTAAACACTTTATTCAATAAAAACATGAGCGGGATTTAGCTTTTTTCCTTTTATGGGGCAAAATCGTGCAACATCCATAAGACGCCAACGGCAAGGACTGTTGGTGGTGTGGCTTTGTCTCCTACGAATGGCAGGTCCGGGGGCTTTCCTCTGAGAGTTATGCTGGCCTGGTTCTGGCTCGTTCATTAAAAAACAGGCCAAGACGGGGCGCCTGGGTGGCTCAGTGGGTTAAGCCGCTGCCTTCGGCTCGGGTCATGATCTCAGGGTCCTGGGATCGAGTCCCGCATCGGGTTCTCTGCTCAGCGGGAACCTGCTTCCCTCTCTCTCTCTCTCTCTCTGCCTGCCTCTCCGTCTACTTGTGATCTCTCTCTGTCAAATAAATACATAAATAAAATCTTTAAAAAAAAAAAAAAAACAGGCCAAGAGTGAAACAGCGATAAGAGGAGCATGAAAATCTAGCTTGCTGGGAACGTGTTGGGGTGTGTGTGTGTGATCTCCTTTCAACAAGTTTTCATAAATTTAAAAATACAAACTGAAATACATTTTTTCATTTTGACTTCATTCTTTGCCTTTTATCCACATTGAAGTGTTTGGTTTAGAACAAAGCCTGAAGTTCATTGCAACTCTATCAGGTAAAGAGCATGGGTTCTATTACATAAAATATTTCACAGAAGCATTGTTAGCTCTACAATTCCATTCCAGGCCCAAATTACTGAGCCTTCCCCCCGCCCCCGAGACATGTTTTCTATAGCTTCTTTTATTGAACCCTACTAAAAAAATTATAGTTCACATTCCCAAGATAAATTGTTCTGGCATATTGGAGTCAAGACTATGAGAAATGATGCTTATGGTTTCATCTTCAATTCTATTTGAATATTGGACACCCTGTTGGGTCTGTAGTGAATGAAAAATGAAGAAGTCTTAGGGCTGAATTTTATGTATTATTCTGGTGACCCACTACCTCTGAGTTACGTGATGTGTGAGGATTTATAACTGTCCTTACCAGCTCCGAATTCTTCAGTATATTTCATAGGTAGATAGGAGACCTTCACTGTGAGTTGCTTAGGACATCCAAGGATCCCAGAGAGGTCGGAGTGGAGTGGTAGAATATACTCAGGCTTTGAATTTACTTTGCACATCTTTCTAAAACCAGCTGTGCTTGTCCAGCTCCTCCCCTCCCCCAACTGCTCTGCCTCTTGATGCCTTTGCACCTGTCATTTGTCTCCCTTTCATTCTGGGAGAGGACGTTCAAGTTCAGTGGTAATGTCAGTTTTCCTCATTTTGGCTTTCTTTGGTCACCTCCCACCCACCCCCCACCCAGGAAGGGTATGATTAATTACTCCATATATTCAATATATATAGCACCTTTATATGCTAGCTTTTATGTGAGGCACTGAGGATTCAAAGATGAATAGAACATAGTCTGTGTCTCCCCCTCCCTCCCACTTTTTCAACCCTTATCTTGGGCTTAGAGTTTTCTGCGAGACCGTCAAGCAAAAATTCAGCAACGTGACTCGTGGTGTGTGTAAGATGATGGAACTGTAAAAATGGAAGGTGCTTTGTATAGAATTCTGATCATACATCGGTCATAGCACTTACATTGTCTTCCAGTTTATTTGTTTAACTGCTTTCTAGACTATGCTTCTCAAGGGCAGGAACTGTATTTTATTCCTCTTTGGGTCACCAGCACTTGGGGGAGCCTCCCACATGCTAGCTATCATTAAATACCATGAAGGACATGGTTCCTGCATGTAAGTTCTTCCCCTGGTGGAGGAGTTAGGTAACCCAATATTGTGATAGGAGCCTCAGATTTAAGAAAGGATGATGGGGCCACAGAGGAAGAGCATCTAACAAGCGGGCTAGGGGCTACCAGGCAAAGCTAGAGAAAATGATGCTTCACTTGCCATTTGAAGACTAACGAAGAGTCAGCTAAATAACAGAATTAAAGACAAGATTTAGCTATGGAGGTTGTGTGAAGGTGTTTTGGGTTTTATGTCAAAGGCTATAGAAGAGCCATTGATGGGTTTTAAGCCATGGAGTGCCATGATTTATGTTTACAAAAGGATGCTCTTATTACCATACCAGATGCAGAGAGACCAGTTACTAGGGCCCTTGTGTTTTCCTAGGTGAGAGAGTAGTACCTGCCCTATAACATTAGCAGAAGTATGGACAGGATAAACTTGGGGTATGGGCTGTGATGGGGAGAAAATGATAACTGGAACTTGGGCAAGTGGCTATGTCATTCATTGGGATAGGACATAGGATATTCTGTCCAGGGATTTTTTAAAAAAGATTTTATTTATTTGACACACACACACACACACACACACACACACACACACAGATCACAAGTAGGCAGGGAAGCAGGCAGAGAGAGAGGGGGAAGCAAGCTCCCTACTGAGCAGAGAGCCTGATGTGGGACTCTATCCCAGGACCCTGAGACTATGCATGACCTGACCTGAAGGCAGAGGCTTAACCCTCTGGGCCACCCACACGCCCCCTGTCCAGGCATTTTAAGACCACATTCTCCTGATCCTCTTCTTACTCTCTGCTCTGATAACCTTGGTTCCTGGTCTCTTGGCGTAGCCTGATACCAAAGGGGAACCATACCTATACTCCATAAGTTTCCACACTAGAGATTTGCCTAATCTTGCCATCATGGTTCTCACCAATGTTCGAAGC